CGCGAAATTGGGTATTGCTGTTCATTAATGAAAATGCGAAACGCTGCGCACAGCTGAGTCGCTCCTCATAGTATAGATTCAGTTTTTTTTGTCTTTCTTTCAGACATCTGTTGCAAAATAAATAAATTGTTCCAGCACTTTGAATATCAAATCCCCAAACGTTACTTTAGTTAGAGGGAAGACTCGAAGGTTTCAAGATTTCTTCAAGGTTTCTTAAGATAATGAAGCTCATCGAATATCGAATAGCTAAGAAATGTCACGATTTTCATCATTGCTGTAGATGGTTGTACCATCATTATTCACGAGGTTGTCACGTGCGAATCTACTTAATGAAACAGTCTTTCACTCTGACGACTTGATTCTAAAATGTTATAAGTTATTGCTTCTTACGAAAACAGCCTTTACTTAAGGTACTAGTTACAAAACTAAAGAGGTCTTCAAATATTCAAGTTACTATTATTACTGTGAAAAGCCATTCTGCATGAGATATACAGTCACACAGTTTGCACGTGAAAGTGTTAGACTTTGCCCATTTCGTAGTTCGTACTTAAGAGAATTCGATCACACAGTGATCCAGTAAGCAGGATTATAAAAATAACTCATGCACACAGTTTGCAATTGAAGACGTTGGACTTTGCCTCTTTTACAATTCGTAAATAAAAGAACGTAAATTGTTTACTAGGAAATGTGCTCAAACGGTTTTAAGAAATCCCCTCGGCTTTACAACATGTGCAATTAACTTATGCTTCATGCAGCCAAGATGGCGGTCTCAAAGTGCCCTTGTTTGACCTTAAGAAATGTCATGTGTAGACGCCAAAATCTACGCGTTATTGGTTCCTATAAGCATCAACTCACTGTACCTTCAACCTTATTGGCCCCTGCAACAGACATCCGAGCACACAAAGACACAAAGCCACAAAGATACATACGCTTAAACCACTGCCATGTGAAGTATTTTTGCAAAATAGCTCAATCATTCCATTATAATATTTTCATACAATTCCAATTTACAAGGCTGTGCTCTAAGAAAAATAGAAGAGAGCCCAGAGCTCTGAACCTGTAAAATCTAGGGTGCCCAGCATATGATTTGTATGAAAATACTAAGATTTTCTAGTCGCCCAAGAGCAGAAGGTACGTGCCAGGGACCACCGGGCTCTTCTAGAGTACAGCCCTGAATTTATATTAAATGAAACCCAACCAGTCTTTCTCTTCGACGTTGTCTAAAGGAACTGCGTTTGAAAACTGTCATACTTTTTTCCGAGCTATTATTTCTGCATATTGCACCCCATGAAACAGCTCGATTTCTTTTCCTTTCTAGTCTTTACTTGTTTTAATTTTTAGTCCCAAGTGCACAGCACCTACCTCAGAATCATCTGGGCTTGTGTCAATTAGAGGTGAAGCTGCTTCTTGATCTGATTCAGTGGTAGGTGGCACGCTACGGCTGATTGCTAACTCAGAATAAAATAACGAAAATACGCATTGAATTCATATTTTGTGAAAGCACTATAACAGAAAATACTCACAGCCAGGTACAATTACTGCACTACTGCACATGAACGTGAACGTCAGCTAACAGCCACCTCTCTTGCGGTCATAATATAGTTTACTGAACTTAAACGTTACAACATCTTTTTTTTCTAACTTGCTAAATGTTATTTCGATTACAATATTTTATGCATTATCATTAATTTATCTGTTCTTTTACTGCAAACTGTTTCAGGGAAGTAATTTGAAGCTCAGAAGATTCTCTATTGCTCTCATGTTAAAGATCCACCCCGCAGTGAAACACCTTACGACGATGATCATTCTAGCTGTCAAGTACCACTGCCATAAGCAACCAACCTTTACACAAAATGTCATTGGCCGGGCAGTTTGGCAAAATTCACTTTTAAAATGTATAATCTAGTTTACAATGTTGTTTTTACAAATTTACTATTGTATTAAGTACTTGGATATGGCAACAAACCATAACACAAAACGTCACAAGAAAAGCAGCCTGATTGGCAACGGTTCCATACACTGAATAATGTTCCATTATCTCGATTGAAGTTTTTAAGATAACCGCTCTATCAATACATGTACATGTATACTTGTGAGTACATTGCTATAAAGCACTAGCAGAGAATTACCTCAATTTCTTGTCCAAAGATAATTGCCCAAGAAATTGTGCTAAACCAACTCACCTGACTTTTCCATAAGAGCTTTCTTGCAAGTCAAATAGCTTTCTTCCTCAATAGTAGTCTTTAATCTGAGTGTCACCAAGTTGATTTCTTTCTTCATATCATCAGTTACCAAAAACCTCTCTGCAGCTTCATTCAGGACACCAGAACAATAATCATTCCACAGACTTTCCAGACTTTGCAGGTCAGGACACTGACCTTTTATTACCAAAGATCCCATACCCACAGATGCTAAAGTAAAGTTGTAAGTATCTTCTACATGCTTAAGGAAGTCACTCAGTCCGCTGGCTGTAGAAAGCTTGTTTCTTTTATTGTATTTCAAGTACACCTCAAGTTGTTGTCTGAACATTCTATCCACGACATCCTCCAGTTCACTACTTAATCCACGTGGGGTGATCGACATCTTAATAGTGTTTTCTGCTTCTGAAAATTATTGATTAAAAGCATATTACAGGGGCACCAAACGACTGTTTTCTGTAAAATATCTGTTAGGAGAAGTAAATATTGCCTAGACTTTTCTTCTACTTAAGAACGGCTAAAAATTTCTAGACGACCGCTCCATTCATGTACAATTTTTCTAAACTCAACTAATAAATTCCCTACGACTTTCTGAAGTTTAATTTTTCACATTTCACTCTCCAGGTTAGGCTATTTTTCATAAAAAAAGGAAACCTAAAATTTTCGGATTCAAAAATGTGATGGAAAGAGGAAACAGAAAAGTTTTCTCCTTCGTAATACGTTAAATTGCATCTAATACTTTCGGGAAAATAATACTCAATCCCTCGTAATTTCGAAAAGACTCAAGTTCCCCTAGGATGACCGAACAGATACAAAGTTTATAGTGCTACTTAGAATGCGTTTCTAGATATCTGAAAGTACTCTGGATAGCCCAAGGAGGAAACAGTCGTTGGATGCCCCTGATATTAACTACAAGTCAATTACTGCTTCTTATTACTATTCAAGAAAAAAATAGAAAAATAAGAAGAAAAATTGAAAAATGTATATTTTTCAAGAAAAATATACATTTACTAATGTATAAGGAAACTCAGTGAGGCTCCTCAGCTCTTTGTTTGAAAAAGCTTTGCACAAACAGAGCATTCTTGGCTATTCACCATTTTCACATACATCTTGCACACATGTTGTTTACCCCCTCCAATTTCTCCTGGGTATTACACTCATCCCAAGACAAATCGAAGACAATGGTTATGCAAAATTTTGGGAAGTAAACAAGGTGAGTGGTCTATCTGAAAGTGGTGAATAGCAGAGAGACTAAAATAAAAAAATACTTTTTAAATAGGCCAAAAAATTCTGAAGAGTTTATTAAAACAAGCCATTAAAACACGTAAAAAAAAGTTTGGCACCTTGTCAATGTAATTCAATTCCATACCTTGGTCAGAAGAAGTGAGCCCAGGTGAAATGCTAGGAGTATGGCAAGTTGAGGGAGATTCTTCACTTAATCTGACTAAATCCTTAGTTTTAGGCTGTTCATCAACTGGACATTGCTCTCCTGAGAAACCAGAAGTTGAAGCATCTGTTTTTGCAACAGGCTGCTTTTCAGTGACAGAAACATCCTTTGGTATATCAGAAGCATCTGGTGTGAGAACAAGCCTTTATTATAAGCTTCTTACAAATTAATGTATATACGTTTTTGTAACCCATTCACATCTCCACCACCCACAACCACTCGTGTAGAACCACGTCTCATGTGACACTAAAAATAAATTTTGACGGTCACACTGACAGCAGCTGTGATCGACCTTTAAACCTGGTGGAGACCCTTATTCTACACATTACAGATCTTTTCATGCATTGACAACTTCCATACAACTTTAAAAGGTGTGCACAAAACATTTAAGCTCAAGAGGAAAAAATTAAGGAATTCAGAGTAAATTCGATGGTAAAAACACCATAACTTTTTAAAGTACTATAGATCCATTTTAAGATTACATTTCAAAAGGGTATTAAATCCTACATGGTTATACAGTCAGCTCTATCAAGCTTTGAACTACATTATTGTAAAGGAAAGTAGGCATATCAAAATTTCAAGTAGCCAATTTAATTTGCATGTTTGTCACTTCCCAACACAAAACTGACTGTCTTTGTATGTTTTCCTTCAGTGGAAGTTTAAAAATAACAACACTGAAGTTCAAATATGGCTACATGCCCCCCTGCCCCCCCCTCCCCCCAACTCCCACCATAAAAGATTTGAAGGTGCATGATTTCTTAGGAAAGTAACTGAATCTACTAGGTAAGGATTGTAAAGACTGATCAGGTACATTATTTTATATGTCTTGGCCATATTCATCTAGCTATCAATAAAATGGTTAAATATTCTGGGATTATGTTGGTGTTCTAAATTTGCAGAAAAAATCTTATAGAACCTGCATGTACACTACACAATGTGATCAAAGAACAAAATGCAATGTGAGTGCACTGCACATTACATTTGCATATTATATTGTGCCACAAAAACTATATTAGTGTGATGTCTGGTACAACATGAATACCACATCAGCACTTAACAAATAATTCTTACCATGACCCATTTTCCGCATTCTGTTCACAAGGGCTTCACATTGCTCCTTCCAGCTGTACATCTCTCCATAAGATGCTCTCAGTGATTTAATCTCTTGAAGCCTCATTCCATGCTTTAAACGAACAGCTTCTATTGCTTTTGCCCATTCTGCAGGATCATCTGAATTCACGATGCATGCATCACCATGAAGAACATTCTCTAATGCTTTGGCAAATCCTGACCTACTGCCTACAAGAATGGGTAGTCCCGCAGACAAGGCCTCAAGTGCGACGAGACCAAATCCCTCTGATTTTGATGGCATTATGGCAATGTCAGCTTCACAAAGCAAATCTTTCAGCCTCTCTCTACTTTGCATAAATTTTCTAACAGTCAACTGCGCTTCCACAATACCACGCTGTAGAAGTTTTTCTCTAACTTCTTCTTGCTTTCCTTCAGGTGCTCCAACAAAGATTAGATGATAACATTTGTTATTCAACCGTTGATCAGTAAATGCTTGAGCAGCAATGTTGTATCCTTTGAGTTCAAAGTCCTCGTCATCCCCACGACCAAACAACAACACTTTAAATTCACCATCCTCTTTAGGTTCTTGTTTTGCCACTAAATCCCCAAACTCCCTTTGAAAAAGGCCTGGAGTAATGGACAAAACATCTTGATCTGTCTTGCATCGCTGTAAATATGAAGAGTATGCTTCTTTTAGTCTGGGTCCCACAGGCACTATAAGATCAGCAAGTTTGCAAAGCCCAACTTCTGATTCGTGTTTTGTTTCACCTTTTGAAATGGGGTCACGGTAACATTTGTATCTGCTAAGGTCCTCTGGAGCAGTGTGAACCACTTGTACCCACTTACAATTTGAAAATTGGGCAGAATCTTTAATGAATTGTACTTGCCGACCAAGTTTAACACCATGGCCAACAACGATGTCCATGAAGTGGTCCGGGGGTGGGATGCTCAACCAATCAAGACGATCATATGCTGTACGTTCCTTCGCCTCAACAATAGTGATTCCATAGCCATCTGCTTCTCTTATTTCTTCAGTGTTGCAAGCTCCCTCTGGGACTAGTAAAGAAATCTTCACCGCTGAATGATTTGAAAGGTGAATAGCAAGCTCTCTGTTTATGGTTGATAACCCACCAGCAGATGAACCCCACTCACCACCAAGAAGAGTAACATGTAACACTGGAACACTGGTGTCACCATAGCAAGCCTACAAAGAACAAATATGACAATAAATAACAGTAAGAACATAAATGTAAACTGTTGGTACTTCTGTTCAAGAACCATGCTCACTTAATTTGCTTCAGTCTTTTACAATAAAAAATTATTATAATTGTTTAATCTGATTCTTCACACTGATACCAGGTCACGTAATTAAAACTAATAAGAAAATAATTAATAATAAAAATAATAACTAATAAAAATGAAAGAAAACAAAGTAATAGCAATTATCTATACAAAAATTTGCTTTCATCGACTATATATGTAAGTTGATACAAGTACAATGTAGGGGTAGAATAGCCAATTTTTTTTTCACTCCCTCACCCAAAGACCCCCAAACAACGTCTAGAAAATTTCATTTAAATAGGAATAAATTAGGCATATCAACGTTATTTCTTCCAGATTTGAGTATTATTCTTAAAACAGTGACATGCGTTTTGATAAATTAACTGCTTACAATCAGTATATTTTAGAGGAAGAGTTTTGTTTTAGAGTTTCAAAATATGAGAAAGTCCTTCATAATGTAAAGGTCTATCAGGCATGAAACAAGTTATGAAGTGGATATATTTTGGCATATATTTGTCACTTTCGTTTTTTTTTAATACTATGATGCAAACTTCAATTAGGTGTAAACATACGTGATCACAGAGGTAAATCAAAGTTATTCACTATACAAGCAAGGCATAACCATAAATTTCTTGGATCTTGTGAACTAAAAGCACCCATGCATATATATATATATATATATATATATATATATATATATATATATATATATATATATATATATATATATATATGTCAACATATTGGCCAACGACTGTCAAGTCAACATGTTGACCAAGCCTCATTTGAAATAATGGTTAATATTAGTAAAAATGACGGCCATGTCAGTCAACAAATGCCAGCTGAAATGTCAACAGCATAGACATAGTACAACATTCATGAATAAAGTATAACTTTTAGTGACAAGAAATAAAAAGGAATGAACCTGTGAATTGTCCAGACTAGTTGTTTTCATGACCTCAGGCTAATCAGATGAAGCAGCCATGACTGATGAAGAGAAGGGGAATATAAGTCCTTGCTATATAGTAACATATTAATTATACTGCCCTCTTGTCACATAATAATAACATGACTCTCAGCTGTCAGTGCTGTAGTTAATCCAGGGAATAGTGGTTATGTATCCACCTTTTAAACAAAAGGGTCCTGTTGGACTCATGTGCACAGGCTTGGCATTCTGAGGTAACGATTTGAGGAACACTTCACCAGGTAGACTCCATAGACACTGCCTTGCCAATGAATCAAGCGAAACACAATAATAATAAAAAAAGGTAAACTTGCCTAACTTATTGCCTACTTTTTTGGGTTTTTGTTTCATTGGGGTATAAACAACAAGAATACAGCGATATGTCCAGGTTTGCATGTGTTGCAGTTTATTTTTTATTTCAGTTAATTTTTGTTTTTCCTTTGTTTCAAATTCATTAGCATACATTACCATACCCAAAAACAATGGAAAAACAAAAATTAACTGAAATAAAAAATTAACTGTAACACATACAGTTGCAAAAATTACAAAAAATTTGAATAGTGAAAAGCAGTAAATGGGGAGGTAAGGAAGACCTCAACTAAATCTGTGATTTTTGTGAAAACTGCAAATTAGAAAAAAATTGGAAAATTTCAGCAAAATTCAGAAATTTGCCGAAGAGTGTAAAGCAGTGAAAGAGGAGGTTGAGAGGGCCTCAACAAAACCTGCGATTCTTGTAAAACTTGCAAAAAATTGGGCAAACATGAGATAGATAATTTCAAAGTTGCTCCATTAGTTTTACAGCCAGGATAAGTGCAAAGGCATTGATATAAATTTTTGGCTTGGTGTTCACTAACACTTTTTTCACTTAGCCTCGTTTTGAAAGCAACAATTTACATTTTGAAACTCACAGAAGTCCTATAGTATTTTACTGAGCCATCAAATGTAGTGGGTGAATCATTTCAATGCAGGGGAGCGGGAAGGGGGAGGGGTAAGGGTTGTTGGAGATGTGGCCGGGAATTGAGTTAGTTGGTAAAGAATCAGTATGTAATGTTGCATTATTCTGACTTACAGTTTCATCGAAATGCCTTGGCAGACATCAATGACCACTGAAGAATCAAAAAGTTCGTTTATTATTTTAAAATACATAAGCTTACTGTGTAAGACTTGATGCCAGTTCAATAAGGGACTGTGCAATAATTATCAGGAGGGGGGGCTGAAAAACTAGAGTTATCTAGCAAAAACTTAGACAGTACCCCCCCTCCAAAATCAAAAAAATTAGTTCTAACCCCCCCTCTGTTATGTTAAAAATAACGTCGCACCCATCAATAATCGTTTAACAGCTGTTCGTGTTGATATTTGTTACAGTCTATCATGATGCCTGCATTGCGAATCTTTTATTGCGTTTAATTTTATTTACAATTCGAATAAAACTTAAGGCCCCCCCTCCGTCAAATGAGTGATTTTACTTTGAGCCCCCCTATCTTGGCAGCAATTTTAAGTAATGCCCCCCCCGCCCCCCTTTAGTTTTACTTTCTTATGTTGTTAAGAGAAGAAATAATAATTTTTGGAATGCTCATAAGTTAAACCTTCCTTATAGTCTAACTGTTAAGACTTTGGAAATCCCATTTTTACGCTAAGATCAAATATGTAAGGTCAGAAAGCATTTTTTAACGTGAAAATTCGTAAACCGTGCGTTGGACCGAAAATCGGATTCTAAAGTGTGCTTTGGCATAAAGATTTTGTGCCTAAAATGTGCCTAAGATGTGCATAAAGTGTCATTTTAGTTTTGAAAAACGTGCCTAAGCCCAGGGCTGCAAATAACGGACAACAGGTTGCCGGTCATGATGACCGGCCAAATATTTTTTAGCCCGGACAAACCCCGATTCTGGCCGGTCAAATAATGAATACTAATAATTTTTTTTTGCCCAAGGAATATCCAATTATGCTGGCAATAGATCGTTATTACTACATTGACGTTCACATTTTTGACAGCAAATTAGTGAAAAATGCATTCGCACGTTGTAGAGTTCCTTTCCGCGGTTTTCGGGCGTTTTAATGTTACGTTCTACCTTGAGTATCATTGCATGGCGGTGTCTGAAGTCTCTAGAGGTAAAAAGTGAAGCGTAAATCCTTTTCAAACTCCCAAGGTTCAGGAAACGGAATACACATACAGTTCAGCAAACTTTAGAAATTACGAAAAAAAAAACAAAAAAATTGGGTTATTTTACAAAATCTGCACAGGCTTGTTACTTCGGCGGAGCGCGAAGTAAAGGTTTCGCGACGCTCAGGAATGTATCAAAGTTACAATTTTTTGACAAGATTGGGCATGCAAAGTCTGTAGGTTTTCGGTTTTATTCGGCTTTTTGACGAAGTGAGAGCCGAATTAATTCGAGATATCTCGAGATCCCTTCGATTTTTTTATTTATTCTTTAACTTTTTCGAGGAAGAAATAATTATTATTTTGGCTTTCCCGGGGTTTGAACCGACTCACCTGTGTGACCCGTCAGATCAGAGGAGATTCTAAGTTGAGGGATTAGCCGATTGCGCTACTGCGACCCAAGGTAATTTGGGAGATGAAAAATAGTTATGAAATGATGTACTAGTTTCGGGACAAGATTGGGCGTGCAAGTTCGTGACTTTTCGGCTTGTTTCAACTATTTCACGAAATGAGACCGGACTACTTCGTGATATCTTGAGATCACTTCGAGTTTAGTCTTTAATCACTCGAGGAAGAAATAGAGGATATTTCATGGCCGCGCAGAGACGCAAAATTTCTCTTCGAGTGTTGAAAAACATTTCACGAGTGAGCCCTCCTTTCTAACTGTTTTATGATGAATTTGAAGTTACAAAATGCTGCAAAAAGACATTTTGTCTTTGTTGAGTGTTACGTAGTAAAATTGCTTTCATGCGTTGCGTGACTTTCTCGAACGTTCTCTACGTTTTTGGATTATTCATGAATAATTAATTAGGGCATGTTTACATTTCAGCAGATTTGCATAAGTTACTAAAGTCATAAAATATGTCGAAAAGCTACTACTATTCGCCTGCTGTTTAGTATTTTCTAGAACCTTATGTCAAACGGTATACAAGTTCCAAGCGAGTTCTTTTGAAGAACTAAGTTTTTTCCCACGAGCTGGACTGCTGTGTTTAGTCAAGTGTGACGAAGGTCGATTTTCAGGTATTGTGTTTACAAGTTCGCGGAAGACGTAAGATGTCTGAAGTTCAAGTGAGAGTTTGTTATTATTGGTAGAGGCTGTTTAGTTTTACTCAAAGTTCAAGTCAAGTTTGTGTTGGTGGATGCTGTGTTTTAAAGCTCTGTAAAGGCTATGTTCCTTTGGTATTAAACTTCCTTGTGTTAATCCGACATCCCTGCGTGCTGATAGTCAGTGAATAATTATCCTTAAAACATTCGAACTCGTGACTTTGAGTTTTAGCCAATTCCATGCTCAACGTAATTGACTCCTTACCCATGCCTTACATATCTTTAATCAGTACATGAGACTGCTGTGCTGTTTTTGAAGCCTGATGTGACTAAGAAAAATAGAGAATTGTTTTTTTAGAAGGATTTGTCTGGAGTCATCAGAGTATAACTGGGCTAATATCTCGTAGACAATTTGTCCCGAAATGCTAGTTTTTGGCAAGTAGGCCTCTTGGATGTTGCTCTTTTCAGAATATCCTGA